ATTTTGCAACTCAAAAAAAAAGTTGCAAACCTAAAACTTGTTGAAATCAAGACTTTTTTGAGAAAACTGCCAACATTTCCTCATCGGGAGATCACTTTTTAAAAATGCCATTTAGTCATCTCTGGAATGCTGTAAAAATAAGGGGTCTTGCCAGGTTTGCTTCCGATAAATGAGCAAAAACAGGACCGAAAACATGAAATTTTGGCATAATCTTGCACCTAAGTAAACCGGTCCTGGGGGTGCCTGAGATTAGCATATTTGACAATCTGTAGTTGCATTAGTATCACAAGCATTCTTTAATAGAATGAGTGGAAGTGCATCTTCCATAAAGGACCAAAAGGGGGCAAAGTAATTCTCAATACGAATCAGAGAGTGAAAAATTGCCATTCCCATTGACTGAACAGTTAAAAGAAAAGCGAACCGGTCGATTTTCCATTACCGCAAAAAGCACCATTCACGTCCGTTTTAATTATAACAACGTAATTCTATACTCGGCAAATGTGGGCCGATTAAAGTTATTGTATGCCCACAGCCGCAACTTATTATAACAAATTTATATCTGATACTACTGATAGCTTCGCTTGATATGCCTTATTTGTAAACAATGAAAGACTGTATATAGAGGATCAGGGCCCGAGACGTGGATGTGACTGGAATAAACGATGCTCTTAATTTTGTGGGGGGATTGATGGGGCACGAGTGAAAACATCGGCCACCAACACCAACAACGAAAACTCTCCTCTTATTGCAATTGCTTGAAATTAATGCATTGAATGCCTACATCTTGCTTGCATCTAATGCGGCCTCGTTTTAATCACCTGGGAACGGTTTGAAGGAGGACTCCGATTGTTTGAGAAACGTTTCGTATACTTTCGCGTTGACCCCGGTAGAATGAAGATAGAAGATGAAGCGAAGGAGTGGACGAATTGCGTTGACATTACGCACGTCTCTAGTTAATTAGCCGGGCGCAGATTTATGGCTGATCATCCGATATGCCTTTATTGGGACGGGAGAGACAATGGGAAAGAGCCGTCACACTGATTTTTGAAGATGTAGAAAGTCGAGGATGCGAAAGGTTTATGGCTTGCTGCTCTTCTCCGCCATGGGAACACGCACTATTGTTTCGGCTTTTTTACGGTTACCAGTTTGCTACAGATTTCGAGCGACCATCAGCGTCTACTTCAAGTTGGTGGGAACCAAGTGCTGCAGGAGAAATACGCAACTTTATTTTGTTTGATACTTGAAAAATTGACGAAGAAAATGAGGATGAGGAGGACTGCGAATTGATGCAGAGGGCAAATGAAGGAGACGCTGAAGCAATGGAGTGAGGAAAGCGTAACCACTAAAAAGGAAAAAAACCAAGAGCGAAGGCCATATCAGAGGCAATGTTAAAGGAGGAAGAAGGATATTTTTTAATTAAGAGCAAAGCATGGGTATTTTGGAACAAATAGTTGGATGGATCATTTTCCATATGTTCCTAGCAAAAGTGTGAAACTCCCTTCTCTGGCCCTCAATATGTTTTCGAGTTACATATTGAAGATTCTTTAGGCGCTTGATTAGAATCAGGTTTGAATAGGATTTCCCTGGTATAAAAACCGCCAGGCTTGAGGAATACGGTTGTGGGTCCTTGAGACAAATGCTCGATATATCTTTAAGCCCGAAACTGAGTCATCTAAGTGGTAAATGCACCCAGTCTCGCGCTTAATCCCTGAAAAACCATACCATTTCGAGCCATTACTGCCTTAAAGACATGGTATAGCTCGAGGTAAATTATAAGAACACCGCGTCAGCCTCGAGGATTATCATGTTATCCCATTTAATCTGTGACAGGCCATAAAATACCGTATTAACAAACATAAACAAGTCTTTTGCCAGCGGGTGGATCATTCACAAACCACTCTTAGGCAACCATAATCGTCGGTCATCTCAATTGAAATATAAAAAAATGTGATAGCTCCGGTTCTCAAAGGAGAACCTAAGCCCGGTTTAGGATTATAATAAAGAACCGTGGAATGTGTAACGTTTCCTTTCATTCTTTTATCGTTTAATAAGAGCGATTTGAGTGAAGGAGGGTTTAAGCAAGCGAAGAATGGGCTTGTTGTGCAAAGGGTTTTGCAGCAGCAAATCTCTTTGTGGGAAACATTCGGAAATTCACTGAAGAGACTCAAAGCTCAATTCAATTTCCTTTGTACTAGTAGAACGACAGTTGCAAATATCTGCCTGAAGTGTTTATTCTAATTAAGCATCCGAACCATTGTTGATTCGGATGCGGTTATTAATTGATGCTCGACAGGATTTTAATTACACCATTTACTAAATCAATTCAGGTAAAATGTCAAATTAGAGACCCCGAATATAACTCAAAAGAGAAAAGGTAAAGGTGTGGGTTTTTAACATTTCAATGGTCATAATATTTAATCATCTGATGAGAGCCTGAAATGATATACGAAGGCCGGGATTCAAATGTGATTTTCACATCGGCTTCTCAAAGCGAATTTAGAAGTTTAAACGGGAAATTGTCTAGCTAAAGCCTAAAGCTAAAGTAAAGCAGATAAACAGCCGACATCCCACCATGAAGAGAAAACTGACATAATATAACACGATATCTCCCAACTAGCTCACATAAGAAGTGGTTGCATAAAGCCCCGGCCTCTCCTTATAACCCGAGTTATTGCGGTTAAGGTTCTGAATTATAGGTGGATTGATTTTTATCTTGATTAATTAATGTAAGCAGCAGTAAAAACGCTTCAGAAGAGGAGTGTTTCTCGCACTGTACACTTTTCCCCAGCTGATTTACTTCACGTGGTTTTGCACAGTTTTGCACGCATGGGAAAAATGGCCCTAAATTTACTTACAGGGTGTTCGGGAAATGCGTCCGGAAATGTTCAAGGGTGATTCTATAGGACACTCGATGAGCTGTAACTGGGAAAATATTCAGATTTTCAATTTTTGCTGCACGACTATGTGGAATCACCCCTAAAAATGTCTTATCGCGTTTTCCGAACACCCTGTACATTCGATGATTTGTACCTAGTCGTTCAGTTGAGTTTTTGATAAAATCCACGGAAATAAGATAACGTCTCATTAACAGCAATAACGGTGAGGAGAAATTTAATCTCTACGAACATAAAAATGTCATCGTCTGCATATATTAGACGGTATTAGATTTATCTCGCTACGTACAGGTAGCGAGAGTCTTAAATATAGATATTAAGATAAGTTGGGCACCTGCATTTACATACGAATTAATTTGGGATTTCGAATAAAAATTTTATTTTCCACTAATTCCGCTAATAAACTGGGAATTGATCATGGAAATGTGGCACGAACATCAGCTCGAGGCATCAACACGTTTATTATGTTTTTCACTTGAATGAATTACAAACTGTAGGTGGCAAAAATTTTTGTCTTTAAAAAAGACAGAATTTCCTCACGTCTTTTATTACAGATTGATAAATAGTGCTCCCATTTCGCAATAAGAACGAATTAT